AGCCCACATGAACGTCAGTCCAAAGCAACGGTCTAAGGCAGCGAAGAGAATTTTCAAACGTGAGTTTTTTAGTCGACCTACGTGTCGCATAATATCAACGAACAAAGTGTTCAGAACTCTCATCTGCCCACCGTTTATTCAGAAACTAAAATTCCGCGATGTCAGGCATCAAATGATCTACAATGGTTGATCGAAGCAAGACTGCAGAAATTCTTGTACTTTCCACCTCTTGAATCAAAAACTTATAGTAAGCCTACCATATATAAAATTAACCTTTGATTTCATGTCTAGAGTCAAATATTTTTTGTTTTAGGTGAGGTTTTATGTAATTTTTTACTGGGTTTGCATGCATACAGAGGTACCCCCGATTACGCTGCTAGTGATTCCCTTGAAAAGGAGTTTACTGGAGTTATGAAAGAGGTGAGCATAATTTCAGCTCTTTTTTTTTGCAATTTTTAATTAAACAGCAAAATTTCCAGGTTTCCGAGTTTGGACCGGTCTCGTCCTCCTCTGTTCGGCGAATGACGCGAAGAGCATGGCGACGGTTGGAGCGAGGGAAACCTTCTGTCCTTGGTGAGTGCTAATTAACGGCGGACTTAGATGAAAAGAGTGAAGAGTCATAACGAGAGATTACGGAAATGAATTTTGCTCAAAGATCAATAAGCCTTATACAATGATAATCTTCGTGGAAAGCAAATTAAGCGATTTTATGCCTTTGTCGTTCTGCTTTGCAAGAACATCACTTCCTTCATATAGTATTTACCTTCTCCCTCCCCCCGTATTATATAAAAACTTTTGATGAAATAAATTAGGTGCGAGAACGCGGTAGACAGAGTGAAGGAGAGGAAGTACCAAAATTTATCCCCCGTCCCCTCCCCGGCCAGAAAATGTAATCTCAACAGATTTCTTAACACTTAGAGGCGAAGACCATACAGCTGTATCATCGCGAATGAGAAATGGAGAGGAGTCGCATTTAAGCTAACGCTTTATTTTATTTGCTCTAACAGGACAGAATTCGCTTTTCTAGAGTCCTTTAGAACAACTTTCCACAAAAAAAAACATTCAAAGCTTATACGTACTGTACTAGATTCACAGGAAATGTATGTCTATGTGAGATATTCCTCAAAAAAAGAGAGGATTCAAAAGTTTTTCGAAATTATTTTTATGTTGCTTAAAGTTGTAAACCAATCTTTTATAATTGTGAGAGTAATGCACAAGCAAAGGATTTTCAATGGTTCAGCCGTAATCTGTCATCTTTCCGCCAAAATCTTCTCATCACTTGGTTTATAGAAAGTCCGACTAATTCTATCAGCGTCAAGCTTACGCTATAAGGAGAAATGTAGAGCTTAACCGCAGCTTTACATCTTCCG